AAGAGATGAGGAAAGGGTGAGGAAAGAGGTGAGGAAAGGGCAGGAAAAGGGTGAGGAAATTGCAAAGAAGGTGGAGGAAATTGCAAGGAGAGGGATGAGGAAAGGGCAAGGAAAAGGGTGAGGAAAGGGCAGGGAAAGGGTGAGGAAAGGGCAGGGAAAGGGTGAGGAAAGGGCAAGGAAAGGGCAAGGAAAGGGTGAGGAAAGGGCAAGGAAAGGGTGAGGAAATTACAAGGAAAGGGGTGAGGAAATTACAAGGAAAGAGGGGAGGAAATTGCAAGGGAAGTTTTGCTGCTCTTGGCTGAAGCAGACACGGAGGAAACGCCCAGGGACCAGTTTGGGACAGCAGAACCCTCTCGGCCCATCCCACAAACCCCCGTCCCTCCACGCTGGATCCCTCGTGCCGGCCACGCCGGCCCTCCCTCGGGAACAAAAATCTCTGCGCCAAAACCACGAGCGTCTCCAGGCACCGCGCCCCTCGCCGGGCGCTACCGGGACCCCCCAACCGACTCCGGCCGGGCTCTCTCCATGCAGGAACGCGGATTTTTGGGGCAGGAAGGAAGACTGGACACCATCGGGCGTTGAGTGTCCACCACCCACGAAGGACTTCCAGGGGGACAGAGCGGCACCGCGGGAGTCGGGGCCGGGAGGGTCCTGCGGCCTCCAGCCAGCGCTGGGCCCTAGCCTTGGCTATCGGCGCTTTTGGAAGGTTCTAGATGCCCCTTCAGCAGGATCTCGCTGAGCTCGGGGGACATGTAGTAAGGCCTCTCCAGAGATCCATCGTTTCTCTCCAGATCTTCACCTTTTCCAGCCCCGGGAAGAAGCGGCCGTGAAGGGGAAGAGCGAAAAGCAGCGGAAGAGCCGGGGAGAGAGACAGGGCGGAGGCGGAGGATGGAGAAGGCGTGACCGGACGCACACGGGAGAGGTGGAAAAAGGAGGAAACAAGGAGGAAAAAAAAGGGAAACTGAGGTTAGTTGTGGTTAATTCCACCGAGCCCAAAGCACCAAAACAGGGAGAGATGCAGGAGCCCACGGACAGGCCTGGGGCCTCAGCTGGAGCGAGCGAGGGAGAGCAGGTGAGGAGTGAGGAAAAAAGGAAAAAGCGAGAGAAAACCACGCAGAGGAACCCCGGGATCGGGAGCAAAACCCCAAACTGGACAATCTGGGAGCGAGCCTGATGGGAGAGGGGGTTTTTGTTGATACTCACAGAAGCAGAGGAAGAGGGTGTCCACGCACATGCCGTACACGCTGAAGAACCCGTGGGCGATGAGGTAGGAGCCCACGATCACCGTCTGGAAGAGACGCCGCGCGCCGATGAGAGCCCGGAGCCAGCGGGAGGAGGAGGAAAGTGCCGAATGCCACATTCCCCAGGGGAAGGAGGGGAAGGGAAACAGGGCAGGACTGTTGGGAGCAGCCCGAGTGGGGACAAAAGGCCTCAGCCACCGCTGGATGGAGGCCAAAGTGGGCAGCGCAGGCGGGCACGGCGCCAGCAGCCACCGACAAAGGGCCCATTGCGCCGGCGGCTGGGAAAACACCTCCAACAAAGGAGGTCCTTGAGGCGTGGGGAGTGGGGAGGGGGTGGTGTGGGGCATCTCTGGCCTTCTAAAGCCACCCCAAAGAGAGAGGGCAGCTCACCAGAATCGGGACCCAGTAGTAATTCAGCGGCGGCGCCGTGTCCTGGACCAGCTTTATCCGCTGGGTGAAGAAGAAGAAGGCGAGGATTCCTGGGGAAGCAAGGGATGGACAAGAAGAGGATGGAAAGGAGCGGCTTTCAAGGGGGTGGCTCGAGCGGAGCTTTTGGGACAGCACAACCGGTGACGGTTGGCAGCTGGATGCCCTGGGGAGAAACTTCCAGAAGCCAGCACTCACCCACGCTTCCCACAATGAGGAGCTTCCCGAGGAAGAAGAGGAAATCCGTGACTTTATCTAACACGGCCACCCTGGAGACAAGAGATGAGCCTCAGCGTCTGCTCCCCGCCCCGAGTTCCGACAGAGGCAGCCAAGGCACGTGCGGCAAACGTTGCCATCCCGCCGGGATCTCACCTGATGATGTTCCTCATCAACAGGAAGAACGCGTTCCGGGCCGAGGTGCAGAAGTTGGTGCCGTAGATGGCGATCTGGGCCGGAAAAACCGGGCAGAGGACAGAGAAACGGGGCTGCACTGAGTCCACCGCCATGGGGAGGGTGCAAATCCCACCCTGGAAGTGCTTTCTCATCCACCAGGAAAACCCAGGGCTGGACACCCCCACCCGTGGCGGGTCCTCCCCAAAACCAACAGCTTATGGCTGAGGTCAAGGTTTTCCAGCCAAACAACGCCTCAAAACTCCGTTTTCCCGCAGCATCGGGAGACAAAATTCCCGGGAAAACCTCGGAGCTGCCCCCAGGGCAGCCCCAGCCCTTCGAGGGCGGTGGATTTGGGCGACGCTCACCATGATGTAGGCGTTCCTGTTGAGGAACTTGATGAATTTTTCCAGGCACCAGAAGCAGCACTTGAGGCAGCTCAGGAGGAACTTGGCAAACTTGTTCTCAGCAGCTGGAGGGCGCAGGGAAGAGGGGTCAGCACCAAAGCCACAGGGGCTGGATCTTCCAGCAGACACTTTAAGGTCGGTGGTGAGACCTTGTTGCCACAATTTCCCCACCCAAGCCCCGTTCTGGGCGCCCGGAGTGCTCTTCCCACGCCCCCACTGGCTGTTGACGTTTCCCGATGAACGTGGTACGGCGCAGAATTCCCTGGCGCGGAATTCCCTGGCACCGGGGCGGGCTGGCTGAGCCTGCGGCCGCGGCACATCACTCCCACCCCGGGAAACTCGGGAATTCCACGGTTTCACAGAACCACGGAATGGTTTGGGTTGGAAGGAACCCTTCAGCTTGATCCCATCCCACCCCTCCAGCACATCCCAACCCCGCCCACCTCCCCATCCCCATCCCATCCCCGCTACCTTTCAGCCGGTGGTCCAGGTACTCCAGGGTGACCCTGATGACCTGGACGATGGCCAGGACCAGCGAGCCGAAGGCCAGCGAGCCGGTGTGGTACCTAGAGACGGACACGGTCACAACGGCGCAACCTCCCCGAGCTCCCGGCCACCCACGCGGTGACGGACGCACCGGAGCGCGCGGCCGAAGGCGGAGAAGAGCGGGAAGGCCGGCATGTCGTCCGGTTTCTTGAAGGCCCAGTAGTAGGAGGCGAAGGCGCCCGCCAGCGTCACCTGGCCCAGCGCGATGACGAAGTTGGCGAGCCAGAAGAACATGAAGACGTTGAAGAACTGGAGCACGATGAGGTACTTGTGATAGGCGGTCTCGCCGCCGTAGAACGCGAAGAGGCACTGGGCGTCGGGGCACAGCTTGGTGACGTTGCTGGTGTTGAAGGTCTGGAGAGGACACGCGACACGCGCCGGTCAACCCAGAGGAACCTCCACGGTCTCATCTCTGAGAGGTTCTGAGTTTCCCCGAGGCCCTCACCTCGGGCTTGCAGGTCTGCCCGGAGAACGGGCACGCGGACTCGTTGAACACCTTGTAAACGGCCTCGTTGGAGGTGGACAGGAAGCTGCGGGTCACCGTTAAGGAGAGGACGTTCTCCAAACCCAACCCTAAACCCAACCCGGGCTCCCCAAGCTCCCGCTGCTGCTCTTCCACCACCCCAAGGTTTGTTTGGGGTTAAACCTCAGAGATTTAAGGCTCTGTGCCTGGAAAAACCACGACGGGAGACCTTGGGCTTCTGGAGAACAGGGATGCAGGGAAGAGGAAGAAGAGGAAGACGAGGAAATGGAAGAGGAAGAGGAAAGGATACACGGCGGTGCTGGCCCAGTAGGCGATGCAGAGGCACAGCAGGAAGAAGGTGCACAAGGGAAACAGCAGCGATGACATGACGTGACCAACGGCCCTGAGAGAAGATGGTTAAACCCCAGTTAAACCCCGGTAAAACCCCACTTAAACCCCAGTTAAACCCCGCTTAAACCCCAGTTAAATCCTGGTTAAACCCCAGTTAAACTCCAATTAAACCCCGCTTAAATCCCGGGAAATTACAAGTTCAACCCCGGTTAAACCCCGGTTAAACCCCAGTTCAACCCTGCTTAAACCCTGGTTAAACCCTGGTAAAACCCTGCTTAAACCCCAGTTTAACCCCAGTAAAACCCTGGTTAAACCCCAGTTAAACCCCAATTAAACTCCAATTAAACCCCAGATAAACCAAGTTAAACCCCAGTTAAACTCCAAATAAGCTCCAGTTAAACCCTAGTTAAACCCCGGTTAAACCCCAATTAAACTCCAATTAAGCTCCAGTTAAACCCTAGTTAAATCCCGGTTAAACCCCAATTAAACTCCAATTAGGCTCCAGTTAAACCCAAGTTAAACCCTAGTTAAACCCCAGTCAAACCCCAATTATACCCAAGTTAAACCCGGGTTAAACTCCAATTAAACCCCACTTAAACCCCAATCAAACCCAAGTTAAACCCCAATTAAACCCAAGTTCAACCCAAGTTAAACCCCAATTATACCCAAGTTAAACCCCAATTAAACCCCAATTAAACCCCAATTAAACCCCAATTAAACCCCAATTAAACCCCGGAGCGACGCGCGGCCGCGGTCACATCCAGACCTGCTGGCCTCCTTGATGAGCGCGATGGCGATGAGGATCCTCTTGCGCAGGAAGATGAGCAGCAGGACGATCACCAGCTCCACCACGCACAGGATGATCACTGGGAGAGGAAAATAAACCCCGGTGGGGTCAGGACCATCTTCACCTTCCCCAGTTAAACCCCAGTTTAACCCCAGTTTAGCCCCAGTTTCACCCCAGTTAAACCCCAGTTTAATCCCAATTAAACCCCAGTTAAACCCCAGTTTAACCGCAGTTTAGCCCCAGTTTAATCCCAATTAAACCCCAGTTAAACCCCAGTTTAATCCCAATTAAACCCCAGTTAAACCCCAGTTTAGCCCGTTAAACCCCAGTTAAACCCCAGTTTAGCCCCAGTTTCACCCCAGTTAAACCCCAGTTTAACCCCAGTTTCACCCCAGTTAAACCCCAGTTTAACCGCAGTTTAGCCCCAGTTTAGCCCCAGTTTAATCCCAGTTAAACCCCAGTTTAGCCCCAGTTAAACCCCAGTTTCACCCCAGTTTAACCACAGTTTAGCCCCAGTTTAGCCCCAGTTTCACCCCAGTTAAACCCCAGTTTAACCGCAGTTTAGCCCCAGTTTAGCCCCAGTTTAATCCCAGTTAAACCCCAGTTTAGCCCCAGTTAAACCCCAGTTTAAACCCAGTTTCACCCCAGTTTAACCACAGTTTAGCCCCAGTTTAATCCCAGTTAAACCCCAATTTAACCCCAGTTCAACCCCAAATTTCCCCCAGGCACCAAACGCTCCTGCACCCACCAAAGTCCCTCATTCAGGTGGAAACACCCCAAAAAAACCCTCTGTGACCTCATTCCCATTCCCATCGAACCATCCATGGGTCCCATCCCAATTCCAGAGGAGCACGTACGGAACGCCAGCCACGTCTGCCGCAGGTGGAGGTAGACGCGGAGATCGGTCTGGAAGCCCAGGTCCGTCAGGGACACGTCCGACCCCGCTTCCCCTTTTAACTTGGCGTATTCCATGTAACAGTGGAAGATCCCTGCGGAAAAAACAAAAAACAAAACAAATAAAAAGCAGGAATTAAATTAAAAACAAAAAATACAAATAGGAATTTTATTTACGCGGCAAAAACGGAGCCGGATGGGGAGGAAACACCCGGAAGGACGCGGCGTGGGAATTTCCGCGGCGCAAATCCCACCGCAAACGGGAAAAATGGGGAAAATTCAGGGGAGAGAGAACCTCACCGTATCCCAACACCAGGATCACCATGACGATCATCACCCAGACCATGATCCCGGCCAGGAATCGCAGCAGGACGATGAAGATCAAGCTGGCCACCATGGCGATGACCAGGCCTCTGCGGGAGGAAGGCGGCCGCGTTCTCACCACGCTCCCGCGCGGAAAAGAACCGCGAAATCCCGAGATTTTTGCCCCGTGCTCACATGATGATCCAGTACCAGGACACGGTGTAATCCTCGAAGATCTTCATGGCCAGCTGACGCGTCTCCAGCACCACGTTGGCTTTTCTGCAAGGAAACCGGGGAACGCCGATGGAGGGGGAACCCCAAAACTGAGAGAATTCCACATTTCTGCACGGCAAATTCCCATCGCCGCCCGCGCCGCGTCTCCTTTCCCACCCTCCGCTCCCATTCCCAACGTTTTGGTGGGAACGTTGGGATTTTGGTTGGGTTTCTGACGCCTCAAACCAACGAAGCAGCGCTAACGAAGCGGCTCTTAACGAGGTGGAGTCAACCCAGGACTCACTTGGCCCCTTCCAGCAGCTCGGTGACGTTCCTGCGGCGCCCCTGGCCGTCGTCGTAGGTGGTCTCGTTGCCCACCATGATGACGCCCTTCTTGGCCTGGATGGCTGGGAAACATCTCCGCGCCACTGGTGAGATCGAGGAAGGGAAAAACAGGAGCTCAGCTGGGAAAACGAGGGGTCCCAAACCCCCCAAAAACCCCCAGAACCCCCCGAAACCCCCCCTGAAAAAAATCCCAATGGTCCCAAACCCCCCCCAGGACCCCCAGAATCCCCCAAAAACCCCCAAAGCGCCTCTGAAAAAAATCCCAACGGTCCCAAACCCCCCCTGAAAAAAATCCCAACGGTCCCAAACCCCCCCTGAAAAAAATCCCAACGGTCCCAAACCCCCCCTGAAAAAAATCCCAACGGTCCCAAACCCCCCCTGAAAAAAATCCCAACGGTCCCAAACCCCCCCTGAAAAAAATCCCAACGGTCCCAAACCCCCCCTGAAAAAAATCCCAACGGTCCCAAACCCCCCCTGAAAAAAATCCCAACGGTCCCAAACCCCCCCTGAAAAAAATCCCAACGGTCCCAAACCCCCCCTGAAAAAAATCCCAACGGTCCCAAACCCCCCCTGAAAAAAATCCCAACGGTCCCAAACCCCCCCTGAAAAAAATCCCAACGGTCCCAAACCCCCCCTGAAAAAAATCCCAACGGTCCCAAACCCCCCCTGAAAAAAATCCCAACGGTCCCAAACCCCCCCTGAAAAAAATCCCAACGGTCCCAAACCCCCCCTGAAAAAAATCCCAACGGTCCCAAACCCCCCCTGAAAAAAATCCCAACGGTCCCAAACCCCCCCTGAAAAAAATCCCAACGGTCCCAAACCCCCCCTGAAAAAAATCCCAACGGTCCCAAACCCCCCCTGAAAAAAATCCCAACGGTCCCAAACCCCCCCTGAAAAAAATCCCAACGGTCCCAAACCCCCCCTGAAAAAAATCCCAACGGTCCCAAACCCCCCCTGAAAAAAATCCCAACGGTCCCAAACCCCCCCTGAAAAAAATCCCAACGGTCCCAAACCCCCCCTGAAAAAAATCCCAACGGTCCCAAACCCCCCCTGAAAAAAATCCCAACGGTCCCAAACCCCCCCTGAAAAAAATCCCAACGGTCCCAAACCCCCCCTGAAAAAAATCCCAACGGTCCCAAACCCCCCCTGAAAAAAATCCCAACGGTCCCAAACCCCCCCTGAAAAAAATCCCAACGGTCCCAAACCCCCCCTGAAAAAAATCCCAACGGTCCCAAACCCCCCCTGAAAAAAATCCCAACGGTCCCAAACCCCCCCTGAAAAAAATCCCAACGGTCCCAAACCCCCCCTGAAAAAAATCCCAACGGTCCCAAACCCCCCCTGAAAAAAATCCCAACGGTCCCAAACCCCCCCTGAAAAAAATCCCAACGGTCCCAAACCCCCCCTGAAAAAAATCCCAACGGTCCCAAACCCCCCCTGAAAAAAATCCCAACGGTCCCAAACCCCCCCTGAAAAAAATCCCAACGGTCCCAAACCCCCCCTGAAAAAAATCCCAACGGTCCCAAACCCCCCCTGAAAAAAATCCCAACGGTCCCAAACCCCCCCTGAAAAAAATCCCAACGGTCCCAAACCCCCCCTGAAAAAAATCCCAACGGTCCCAAACCCCCCCTGAAAAAAATCCCAACGGTCCCAAACCCCCCCTGAAAAAAATCCCAACGGTCCCAAACCCCCCCTGAAAAAAATCCCAACGGTCCCAAACCCCCCCTGAAAAAAATCCCAACGGTCCCAAACCCCCCCTGAAAAAAATCCCAACGGTCCCAAACCCCCCCTGAAAAAAATCCCAACGGTCCCAAACCCCCCCTGAAAAAAATCCCAACGGTCCCAAACCCCCCCTGAAAAAAATCCCAACGGTCCCAAACCCCCCCTGAAAAAAATCCCAACGGTCCCAAACCCCCCCTGAAAAAAATCCCAACGGTCCCAAACCCCCCCAAAAACCCCCAAAGCGCCTCTGAAAGAAAGCCCAGCAGAAGCCGAGCCGTTAACGAGCTCCTCGTTAATCGCGGACGTACGCGGCGTGCTGGGAATGAGCATGGCCGGACACTCCTTGTCCTTCAGCACCTCCACGGGAGCCTGGGTGGGGACAACAGCCGGACATCAGCGCTCCGGGCAGGAATCGCGGCACGGGAACGGCGACCCCACAAAAAACCCCACAAAAACCCCACAAGAAGCCCAAAAAAAACCCACAAAAACCCCAAAAAAACCCCCCAAAAAACCCTACAAAAACCCCACAAAAGCCCCACAAAAACCCCACATAAACCCCACAAAAACCCCACAAAAACCCCACAAAAACACC